ATTATATATATATACACCCTCAGGGAGATAAACTCTACATACAGGGCGCTCAACAACTTTTTGAACAAAAACTAGGTTCTTACAAATCTGTTCGATTTTGGAAAAAAATGTTTTAATTTAAATTACTTGGTATCTTTTTTGAATATCAATCAAAGCATTGGGACACCCTGGTTCTCGTCACAGTACTCTGGGATTATGTTGTAAATACTACATTTGTTTACTTTGTCGTACACTCAACGATAAATAACTTGGAATCCGAACATTTTAAACCAAACTAATATTCTAGTTTTCGATCAGCTCTCTTTCCAAATATTGGGGTTCATTCATTTGGTAGACCTCCAACTCCACCTTGATTTAACACTGGTAAGATTAATCTCAATTATATCACGATTTAGACCTCCAACTTTACCATGATTTAACACTGGCAAGCTAGACCTCCAACTATACCTTGATTTAACACTGGTAAGCTAGACCCACCATTATGCCACGATTTAGACCTCCAACTTTACCATTATTTAACACTGGCAAGCAAGACCTCCGACTATACCTTGATTTAACACTGGCAAGCTAGACCCCCAACTATACCTTGATTTAACACTGGAAAGCTAGACCTCTAACTATACCTTGATTTAACACTGGCAAGCTATACCTTCAACTTTACCTTGATTTAACACTGGGAAGCTATACTTCCAACTATACCTTGATTTAACACTGGCAAACTAGACCTACAACTATACCTTGATTTAACACTGGCAAGATAGACCACCAACTTTACCTTTATTTAACCCTGGAAAGCTAAACCACCAACTATACCTTGATTTAACACTGGTAAGCTAAACCACCAACTTTACCTTGATTTAACACTGGCAAGCTAAACCACCTTGATTTAACACTGGTAAGATATATCTCCAGCTATACCTTGATTTAACACTGGCAAGCTAGACCTTCAACTATACCTTGATTTAACACTGGCAAGCTAGACCTTCAACTATTCCTTGATTTAACATTGGTAGGCTAGACCTCCAAATATACCTTGATTTAACACTGGCAAGCTAGACCACCAACTATACCTTGATTTAACATTGGCAAGCTAAGCCACCAACTATACCTTGATTTAACATTGGTAAGCTAGACCTCCAACTATACCTTGATTTAACACTGGCAAGCTAGACCTTCAACTATACCTTGATTTAACACTGGCAAGCTAGACCTTCAACTATACCTTGATTTAACACTGGCAAGCTAGACTTCCAACTATACCTTGATTTAATACTGGGAAGTTAGACCTCTAAATATACTTTGATTTAACACTGGCAAGCTATACCTTCAACTATACCTTGATTTAACACTGGGAAGCTAGACCACCAACTTTACCTTGATTTAACCCTGGAAAGCTAAACCACCAACTATACCTTGATTTAACACTGGTAAGCTAGACCTCCAACTATACCATGATTTAACACTGGCAAGCTAGACCTCCAACTATACCTTGATTTAACACTGGTAAGTTAAACCACCAACCTAGAACTAGAAATATAAACCTGGAACTATAAATAAAAACCTAGTACTATAAATATAAGCCTAGAGCTAGAAATATAAACCTAGAACTAGAAATATAAACCTAGAGCTAGAAATATAATCCTAGAACTAGAAATATAAACCTAGAACTTGAAATATAAACCTAGAACTTGAAATATAAGCCTAGAGCTAGAAATATAATCCTAGAACTAGAAATATAATCCTAGAACTAGAAATATAAACCTAGAGCTAGAAATATAAACCTAGAGCTAGAAATATAAACTTAGAACTATAAATATAGACCTAGAACTAGAAAAATAAAACTGGAATATAATTGAGAATTGATAGTGTTTAAATTTAGAAATATTGTTGTACATAAATCATGAAGCAGTGCTCTGTCAAAAGGTGAATAAATCATGAAATCTGAATATACGATAGAATTAAAGCACGCCAGTCAACCATATAAAGCTAGTTTGTTTTTGCAGATAGATTGTAATAGTTCCACTTTATTAACTGTTAAACTTCCGGTCCTATATCTAGTTGGAATATATCAAACATCATATGATTTATATTCACACGAGCAAGTAAATAAATCTAAATATACTAAGATTAAGTTTGAACTGACTAGTTGGAGTAGCTGGTTAGTGGATATATAGAGTACCTGAAGGACCTGGATATATAGAGTAGCTGAAGAAGCTGGATATATAGAGTAGCTGGAGGACCTGGATATATAGAGTAGCTGAAGAAGCTGGATATATAGAGTACCTGAAGGACCTGGATGTATAGAGTAGCTGAAGAAGCTGGATATATAGAGTAGCTGGAGGACCTGGATATATAGAGTAGCTGAAGAAGCTGGATATATAGAGAAGCTGGAGGACCTGGATATATAGAGTAGCTGAAGAAGCTGGATATATAAAGTAGCTGGAGGACCTGGATATATAGAGTAGCTGAATAAGCTGGATATATAAAGTAGCTGGAGGACCTGGATATATAGAGTAGCTGAAGAAGCTGGATATATAGAGAAGCTGGCGGACCTGGATATATAGAGTAGCTGAAGAAGCTGGATATATAAAGTAGCTGGAGGACCTGGATATATAGAGTAGCTGAAGAAGCTGGATATATAAAGTAGCTGGAGGACCTGGATATATAGAGTAGCTGGAGCAGCTGGATATATAAAGTAGCTGGAGGACCTGGATATATAGAGTAGCTGAAGAAGCTGGATATATAAAGTAGCTGGAGGACCTGGATATATAAAGTAGCTGGATCAGCTGGATATATAAAGTAGCTGGAGCAGCTGGATATATAAAGAAGCTAAAGGAGCTGGATATATAAAGTAGCTAAAGGAGCTGGATATATATAGTAGCTAAAGGAGCTGGATATATAAAGTAGCTAAAGGAGCTGGATATAAAAAGTAGCTGGAGGAGCTAGATATATAAAGTAGTTTGAGATGCTGGATTTATAAAATAGCTAGAGGAGATGGGTATATAAAGTATCTGGAGGAGCTGGATATATAAAGTAGCAAATGCAAATAAAGTTGTGAATGCGAATGGGGTTTTTGCAACGTTGCAAAACATGAATGCATGTGTAAATGTAGGTTGATTAGTTGATTAGTGGTTTGCATTTATATTACAAGTATTTAGACATAATTACCTCACGTAATTGGTTTCAGAATATTCTCATGTATTGAAATATTGACACGAATACTTTTAATAGCTTCTGACATTTTTATATTTCCATTTTCTCTTCTAAATGTTGACTGGCTGTAGAATTTAGATAATGGAAATTTTAGTGGGATCTGCCATGGCCCCCGCTGCTCAAGTTTGCCTTTCTTTCATAATTTCACAAATTCACAAAATGCGATCAACGCTGGACGGAGAGAAATATGTAGAAGGTAATTGTTTCATTTCACCGTAAAATAATTTTCAAAACTTTACATGCTTTCAAAATTTATCATAAGTATCAATGAGACTAAACTATGCAGTTTGGTTAAAAACTATCGATTGCATTAAATTAAAGAAATCAGACTAATTTTACTTTATCTGGTCTAGACTGATTAATAAAAGAAATCAGATTAATTTCACTTCATCTGGTCTAGATTGATTTAATAAATGAAATCAGACTAATTACACTATATCTGTTCTATCAGCCCAAATTTTTATTTTAAAAAATCTTTTTTCTTTGTTTATTTTCTTGTGGTTTTTAACAATTTTTTAAAAACTTTTTTTATCGATTTTGATGGTTATTATATCGTAAGAACTGACGAGGGTCAACCCAGACCGAAATATATTTTTAATAAATGTGGAACTACATCTACTTTTTTTACTCTACAGAGGTTTGGTCCATCACCATCACCGAATTTTAAATAAATTAAAGAAATCAGACTACTTTCACTATATCTGGTCTAGATTGATTAAATTAAAGAAATCAGGCTATTTTCACTATATCTGGTCTAGATTGATTAAATTAAAGAAATAAGACTAATTTCACTATATATGGTCTAGATTGATTTTATTAAAGAAATCAGACTAAGGAATTGAGTCTTTGCCACAAACTCAAATTTACTAATCCATATATCTTAGCAACCTTATGATGTAAACCTTTGATATTTCATATTTAGATTATTTGATCAGAACAGGATCAGTTTAGAATATCAAAGGTCTGGGACACAGGGTTGCGAAGATATAGAAAATTTGAGTTTGCTGCAAAGACTCAATTCCTTTCACAATATGTGGTCTAGAATGATTAGAAGAAATCAGGCGTATTTTGAAAAATTGGCCTAGATTTGCAATAAAGCAATTAAAAGTATTGCAAAAGACCGGCAGGATTATTGAGATTAGAAATTAGATATAAAGGAATCAGGTTGAAACGATTCAATGAAAGTTAAGGGAGGGATTATTTCTAATATGATAATATGATAGGATTAAAGTAAGGTCAAGGAAAATGGCGTGAATAAGGCTAAATATTTTTGCAAACAAAATAATTAAGAGCTTGCGTTAAAGTACACATGTCTGGTGCAAAGTACACGTGTCTGGTGTAAATTATTTTCACTTTTGCTGAGTTGGTTTTCTTTCGTTCTCTGACTTTCTATCTTTCTATCCTTCTCGGTCAGGGTTCCTGATGCACCTCTATTAAGCTGCCAGGGATAGAAACAGATGGCTCAAACATTATCCTTCTCCGGGTACCCTGGTTCATACGAGAGAAGAATGGTTTGTAAATCTAGGAGATAAAGAATATCTATCCCTGACGGGAGGAGGATTATGCCTATAGTATATGTCTGGTAGAACTTATACTAGTGTACAGTTATAAAGATAAGATTTCTAATTCATCATTGGTTTAACCCGCTCTATGTTAAACTTAGTAGGCTAATAATTTGATTACAGTGAACCCATAAAACTGTGGAATAAATCGACGAAATTTCAGCCATCTTACGTTTGATATTGTTATTAGTCAAATACTTTTCCAGTAGCCTAATTCAAACTTACCTTTTTCTGATCAAGGGTAAATAATACATCCTTTAATTTTCTCTGCAAAGAGGTTTGCGGATTATGCCGTGACAATTAAGCAAGTTGTGCAAATTTTACACTTTTTAAGGTGGAAAAACGACGATATCTCCTTATTTTTACCATGATAAAGGTTTATAGAATATTGTTTTGATTCGGACATGTGACTCTCTTTACATTGATTCACTTTAAATGTCGTCTTCAGTCAATTTAAAAGTTCCTTTCATGTAAAATACAAAAATGTTAACATAAAGTATTTCCTTTAACTTCTGTTTCCTTTTCATATTTTTTATTGATTCTCTTTCATGTTTTCCTCAGAGCTCATGTTCTCATTATTATTTATTTGTATATTTATCCTTGAATTTACTACTACCTCCCCCCCCCCTGCAGTCCTAAAAAACTACCATTTACTATTCAGTAAATCAATGAAAAGAAGGAAACGGATGTGATGATAAAACGATCAAAATCGACCGTGAAATCCTGACATGAAATTAAGTGGGAGGGAACCCTTAGGATAAACTGGCGGGAAATTCTTCCTAATGCAACTTACAGTGCAATGGTGGAGTGGGGGGTGGAGATGGTGTGAGGGGGGGGGGAGATCGTGTGAGGAGGGGGGGATTTTGAGATGAATGAAAATGGTCTGAACAAAAAATTAACCGAATTGTTATTTTTCTAGAAATTCAAACTAACCTTGTTTTATTTTTGATTAATCCTTTTGCTCATCCCATGTTCTGTTACTTAAATATATATGTATATACTATGCATAGAAATTAATCAAGATGTATTGGGTACCCGGTAAACTCGAAGAACTAGGAGAACCTTGAGAACCCGTAAAACTCGTAGAACCTGGAGAACCAGAAGAACCCAGAGAACCCGGAGAACCCAGAAAACCTGGAAAATCTGGGTAATCTGGAGAATCTGGAAACCTGGAGATTCTTGAAAACCTGGAAAATCCGGAAAGCCTGGAGAACCCAGAGAACCTGCAAAGAACTCGTAAACTCGTTGAAGCTGAAGAACCTGGGAAACCTGGGAAACCTGAGAAACCTGGGAAACCTGGGACACCTGGGAAACCTTGAGAACCTGGAGAACCTGGAGAACCTGAAGAACCTGGATTACCTAGAGAACCTGTAAACCCTAGAGAACCTGGAGAACCTAGAGAACCTAGAGAACTTGAAGAACCAAGGAATTCATTAGAACCCTGGAACAAAGGAAAGAATTTAGAAATCAAGCAGATCTTGGAAATCAAAAGAAACAGGAGTGGATCCAAGACCCGAACTCTTGGAGAAACAAAAACCCCGGAGAAAAATAAATTACCCAACCTTGACACTCTATCTGTTCTCGATAATTTTAATAATTTTGATCCTTGATCTGAGGTCAGTGAAGCACTTACACTTTTCTCCCAGACTTTAGATTCGTTCCCAGTTTTAGATTCACAGGGTTTACACTTTATACTCATGTTTCTCGTTAAGAGAAGAAAAATTCATATTTTAAATGTCGACTTGATTTTGAATTTGAAATATAAATGGTTTCCTGGTTCTGCACTTTGTAGGCTATTTGAGTCTGTTAACAGGGTGTTAACTCCAAACCTTTTAAATCAATAAAATATTTAATGCCTGATAAAAATCATGGGCTTGTCTTTATTTCAATCTTTAAACATACAGTTCAAGCTTCTGTTTGTTAAGAAGACCAAAACTTATTTATAATTTAATAGATAATTTATGTTTTTAGCTTGAAAACAATTTTAAAGCAAATTTTGATTTTAAACTTGTCCAAAATTCTGAGTATTACATAAAGTCAGGAAGAAAGTTTAATAAAAATCTCTATTATGAATATATTTAACATGTTGCATAACAGCTATACCTTGATTTAACACTGGGAAG